CAGGAAGAAGTCACTGCAGACACAGTGGGTGGATGGAATAAAATAGATTAATTTGGGGCAGGTGAAATTTGTACATGATTTACAAAGGCATGTAGATTTGCATAGGAAAATTTTAATTCCTAGAAAATCAGATGAGGATGGACACATTCTTGCTGTTTGGCAGCAAGTAGGAGGCTCAGCACCGTTGGAATCAATGACACTTTCATTTGTGTGAGCCAGCATGAAATGTGTCTTTGTTCATACCAAACTACATTAAAACAAAAATGCAAGGAAAAAAGATTGTGTTCAACAAATGAGCTGAATAATAGTGTAGGGAAATCTTTCTACTGCCATTGTTTACAGTGGAAATATTTCACACATTCACTGCCACTGAGAAGTTTTTTAAAATAATGTATTACTAGGATCTTTGGAAAATTAATGTGTTTCCTAATCAAGTACACATCAGTCTTTTATAATTTGTACAAAAAATAGACGTTTTTGTATACACCCAGGCTAACATTAGCTTTCTGATTTTCAAAATCTGATGTCCAGTGCTACGCACCAGCCTTGGGCTAATTTTACAAATTGATGGAATATCTTTAATTTGGATGAATGGCTGCTCATTTTGAAGTGGAGCCTCTAAAAATCAATGGCAACTTTGAAGATGTTTGATCATAGTGCACTGATTAAACCAACAAAGGCTTCAGCTGTAGCTTTTCCCAAGAGTTTCAAGATACAAATAGGGGGTTTTCTTGTTGTCATTTGGATGGATCAATGCTTGTTTGACAAAATCTGCATCTAACACAAACTCCTTACAGGTCTATCTGCATAGTTGAGAACCTGGCTGTTGTCTGCTTCCTCTGTCTGTCTTCAATTCCCTTGCCAGGCATGGAAAAGTGGGAAAGAAGTGGGCTGCATGGCTTGCTTTCTAGGTCAGAAATCAGGAATTCTTGTTTCCCTTTTAGCTCTGTTGGTTTTTTCCCAACGTTTTTGTGTTCTACTGCCCACCAGTTTCTGAGTTTTGAAAACACTTGGGTCTTAAAAACATAGCTGCATTGTCAACTCCTGGGTAAGCAGCAGTGTGTACAGAGCTGGTTGTTGTGTTGCTAGAAGAGCTAGGGAAACTGGGTCTGCAGGTTTCACACATGAGAATCACAGAATGGGTCAGGCTGAAAGGGACCACAGTCATCTGGTCCAGCCTCCCTGCTCAGCCAGGGTCATCTCAGAGCACTTTGCACAGGATTGTGTCCAGACGGTTCGTGAATATCTCCAGTGAGGGAGACTCCACAAACTCTCTGGGCAATCTGTTCCAGAGCACGGGTACCCACACAGTAAAGTCCATTCTCATGTACAGGTGGAACTCCCTGTGCATCCGTTTCTGCCTGTTGCCACTTGTCCTATTGCTTGGCACCACTGAGAACATCCCAGACACCCCTGCTTTAAATATTCATACACATTGATGGGGTCCCCTTTCACTCATTTCTTCTCAAAGTTGAACAGGCCCACCTCCCTCAGCCTTTCAAGTGACCCAAGACTCATAATGGGCTTGTTTTCTCTGTTGTTTCTGACCTAAGTTGTTCTCTGAGTGCTGCCTAGTACTGCTTTTTCTATGCTTGTTTGGTTTCTGCAGAAACCTTGAGTTAATCCATCTGGGCTTTTTGTTTTAATTCTACACCCACAGTATTTGAAAAGCCCTGAACAACTGCAAACCAAAAGCAAACACCTGGGTGCCACAGGAATGTTAAGTCCCATTGAGCCTTGCACATACTTCATACAGTATTATTCCTCGATATTCAAGTAGTCTTGTCTTGTATGGTACAAAGTGATTATGATTTCTGACATTCCCAATATTGAGGAAACAACTGTTATCCTACTTGTACTGTCTACAGTGAAATACTGGTAGGCAGGATACATTGGATTCCACTGTGCTGATCTCTCTCCACTGCACTCTTACACTTCAGCTTCTCTTTGTCACTGGAAAAATTATTTCTGAAGTAATTTTACAGTTTTGCAAAATATCAGAATCTCTATTATATCAGCGTGTGTTTTCTTCTAAATCAATAACACAGATTCATTGAAATGGTGGCCTGGAAGGGACTTTTTGGTTACTTGCTCTGTCACTGTGCTGTGCATATTAGGTGAACCTGTGTTCAAAGTCATGCCTTATCATTCTCTGATGTGTTTATTAAAATATATAGTGAGGAAGAACTATGTGTATTTTTTCTTTGATATCAAGAAATTTTCCTTCTCATCCAGTTGAAGGGATGAGAGATGTCTACTCTGTTAGACAGTAACTTTATTTGTGCTCATTCTCCTATGGAAGACACAAGAAACAATTACTACTGTCCTTTACAATAGCCAACGACAAAATCAGTTAAAATGATTCTGATTGCAACACCCCCTGATATGCTGTATTTTCTTCTGTATGTAATTTTTATTCCTGTTTTACAGACTCCTCAGGACCTCACCTGAGACGTTGTTTGTGTTGGATAAACCAGAACAAAACTGAGTAACTGCATCTCAGGGTATTGCTGCTTCACCTGAAAATGGCATTTCCTTTTCCCTAGATCACCATTGCATTGCTGGCTGATACTATCCCTCCCAAGTTCATTTTTTCCTTGCTGCTACTGTAGCTAGTTACATCCAGCAGTCCTTTTAGCAAGAAGTGACCTCGTCGTTTCCACAGTATGAACTGTCCATTGCTAATTCGTTCCAGGTTAGTTGCTGATTGAAGTAGCAATTTTGATGCTATGCAATTTGGAGTCAAGGTGATTTGTCACAGGCTCCAGCAATTAGCAGTTTTGTGTGGCTGCTTCTATGGAAGCAATACAGAAGTCTTCACAGGCAGGATTCCTGGCACAGGTAACACCACGGCCAACTCCTTCCCTCACATGGACTCTCAGGTTGATGACAGCTCAGAGCTGGGATCTTGTGTCCATTCAGCTCAGCACAGCGAAGGCTGAGCTGAATATAGACAAGGCTTTCACCTTTCACTCTGACACCTGTGTGAAGTTCAAGAAGTTGACTGGATCGGTGACCGGGTTGAGAGTGGAGGAGAGATGCTGGGTTGTGCCCTGGAGCCAGAGGTGTGTGACACTTCCCTTAATCTGATTACAGTTCCAGTTCCTGCTTGCAGCCTAACCTGACCTGTCTCCTGCCACGTTTTCGGTCAGCTGTGGGCTCACAAGTAGGCAGGGATGAGCTCCTGTCATGTCCACTCTCTTCCCAGGCACAACAGGCTGAGAAAGCCAGGGCTCTTCAGACCTCACAGCAACTTGCCAGTATCCAGGGGACCTACAAGGAAGCCACAGAGGGACTCCCTGTCAGGAACAGTAGGAATAGGACAAAGAGTAATGGGTACAGATTGAAAGGGGAAATTTAGGCTGGATATTAGGAAGAAGTTCTTTACTGTGAGGGCAGTGAGGCACTGGAACAGGTTATCCAGGGAGGTTGTGGATGCCCCAGCCCTGGCCAGTGTTCAAGGCCAGGTCAGATGGAGCTCTGAGCAACCTGATCTGGTGGGAGGTATCCCTGCACAGGGCAGCAGGTTTGAGACTAGATGAACTTTAAAGGTCCCTTTCAACCCTTAGCATCGATGATTTTGTGATTGGTTCTATGCAAAATTTGCCAGGCACTGCAGTCAGGTGGGCTACATGGTTAAGATGGAGGGGCAGGTGGCATCTGGCAACATTTAATACCAGAAAAAAAGAAAAAAAGAAGGAAATGTGATGTGCTTTAAGAAATGAGTGAGGCAAGACTTTGTACAAAGACAGGAGATGTAGAGAACAAGAGAAGACATAGATTTGAGACCTAGAGAATGAGAAAGGAACAGGAAAGGTTTTAAACTGCCACTAACAAAAGCTTGGAAGACCAGACTGCTTTGGGTCAGTCTTGCTGTGATAGCTGGTCTTCCTGTGGCTGGTGAGTGCCTGCTGTTGGTACGGTGTCTGTAAGGTGGAATTCCTGAGGGTAGAATGCTTTTGTCCTGCCTGTGTGCTCTGCAGCCTGGTCTGCCAAAAATACCAGAAAAATAAAAAACCCAAATCACAGAATCATAGACTAGGTTAGGTTGGAAGGGTCCACAGTGGGTCATCGGGTCCAACCTCCCTGCTCAAGCAGGGCCATTCCAGAGCACAGGATTGTGTCAATTGATTCTCCTGTGAGGGAGACTCCACATCTTTCTGGATAACCTGTTCCAGTCTGTGGTCATCCACATAGTAAAGAAGTTCTTCCTCATATACAGGTGGAACTTCCTGTAGGTCAGTTTGTGCCAATTGCCTCTCGTCCTGTTGCTTGGCATCACCGAGAAGAGCCTGGCTCCATCCTCTTGGGCACCTCCCTTTAGATATTTATACTCAAAAGGCAAAGCTCAGGAAGTAGTAGCACCAGCAAGCACCAGCAGCATTAAGGACACAGCCCCTGTTCCCCAGGGGCGTGCATTACCAGGCACGCTGCTATGTCCTCGCAGGGGGATGTTACTGGGCCAGCCTCTACCTGTTGTGATAGGGGAGATGCAGAGATGCTTCTGCAGAGATCCCTCACTGGGCGTGTGTTGGTGTATCCGTGCAATCTGCGCTCGGCAGTTCTCAATCTCCCCCTGTCGGTGCCTGTTAGTCACAGAAAGTCACAGAATAAGCTGAGATGGAAGGGACCCAGCACGATCATCGAGTCCTACTCCTGGCCCTGCGCAGGACACCCTGAGAATCACACACACCAACCGAACCTGCGAATAACACTAATAACACTAACTGAAAAGGAACTGGGGTGTTTTCTCGCCGGCTGGCGGCCGCGGGTGCAGCCGGTGCCGGAGTACGCACGGCCGCCCCGCCGTGGGGAGCAGCTCCGCTCCCGGGCCGCAGGCATGGCGGCGGCGCACCCCGAGCGCGCCGCTGTCGCTCGGCTGTGACGTCACCGATCCCGGCCTATCCCGGGGCCTCATCCTTGCCCATCCCGGCCTCTCCAGGGGCCCGTCCCGGTTTATCCGAGGCCTCATCCTGGTTTATCCCGGGGCCTGTCCCGTCCCGGCATATCTTGGGACTCGTCCCGGCTTGTCCCGCCCGTTGCCCCGGGGCTCTCCATGGCCCTGCCCGTCGTACACAGGTGCCTCCAAGTGAGTGCGGCCGCGGCTCCCGGAAGCCCCGGCCCAGGGAGGGCGCGGAAGGCTCGGCTGGGCCGGGTTTGGCTTCGGCGCCGAGCTCAGGCTGAGAGCACAACGCGGGGCCAGGTGCTGGTCCAGGGTATCGGGCGTAGTCAGTACACTGTAGGATAAGGCAATATACTTTTATCTCTCTCTCTCTCTATATATATAGAAATATATGAGGTAGTTTTATATGTGTACATACATAACATATATACACACACGCACTTCTATATGCTATATACGTGCATACACTATGTAGTTATATATGTTATATATATAACTACAAATATATGGTTATATGTATTATCTATATAATATATTTCCTCATATATGGCTTTATGATATATGCAAAATAGATATAGCTATATATTGCCTCATATAATATTGCCCTATTACTATAATATACAATATATATTTTATATATATGGCTGCATACTGCTGGGCAAAGTCCAGCAGACATGCATGCAAGAAGTGCAGCCAGTGTGACTCTTTTTGCCTCTGGTGAGGTTAAATCAAAAATAAACACCAGTTTAGTTGCAGAGCTGATGTTTATAGTTCAGGAGTATAACTTGGATACTTTGTCCCTCTGTGATTAATTTTAAATGCAAAACCAATTCCCTGTGTTTCTTAATGAATTATGAAGTTATATTAGACACCTTTAATAGATACCTGTTAAAGAAGCTTTGTTGTAGTCAACTATTCATAAAATTTGAAGCCAGTTGTTTTTCCTGCTATTTTCCTTTTAGATGCTTCTATGGTTTAGGAAAAATGTAGTCAAGTTTTTGGGAGAGGGTTTTAATTTGAAGTGTTATCAGCTTAATTAACATTTCATTTGAAAGTGTTCCTTGATTTTTCATTTTTCAATTCTCTTCCTTTTCAGCTCACTGATGAAAATGAGCAGTTAATCAAGAAGGTGAAAAAACTACAGATAAAAAATAAGGAACTAGAAAAGAATCTGGGTCAGATCCAAGAACAGCTGTATCTGCAGCAGTTCATGCATGTCTGTGGCTCAAGCAGAGAGTAAGAATTGTCAAACGTTTCTCTTTTGCATCAAAAGAAGTGCAGCATTTCAGGACTTTTATTTTCATGTCCTTAAGATGAGCTAGGCATTATCTGGTCTGTGTAGTTTAAGGAGCCATCTGTGAACAGGATGGTGGGGTGGAAAATACAGGAGGCCTGTAGAGGAGCAAAGGACATCTGGGACAAAAATTTATTGCAGTGAAAGAAGCAATTTTAATATCAAAAAGTAATACTCCTGCTTAGCCAATATGCTCTCTCTGTCAAACTGGAAAGGCTTTTATACTATTTTCCACCAAAAAGTAGTAAGATAAAGACACGTTGAGTAGTGTCAATGCTCCTTAAAAGATTTAGAACCTAAGGACCTGAAAAACTGTAGTGCTAGTGGTTTGGAGAGTGTCCTGCTAGGATTTGCATACCAGTTCACAAAAATCTTCCAAGGCTTAAGTTTTAATGTGTTTATGATCCTGCCTGGAAACCTCTACCATAAAATCGAACCAAAAAGTTTGTCCTTTTTCAGTTGCTTTGTTTAATCCAATTAAATTTGTGAAATATGATTTTATGAAGGTGTTGTGTTTGTTTCAATTAAGTGTTCAGGTTCAAACAGAAACCCATTTATGGCATAAGGGTGGAGACAACAAGGATGTGGTTCTAGAGAGTGAGAGTGTCAGGTGAGTTCTTGGAAGCTGCTTCTTGACAGAATTATTCTCTGTAGTGTAGAAAATGTTCGTGGTTAAGTCAGTTGATTTTTTTAAAGCTGTTATGCAAGTGACTTTCAACCTTTGAAACAATGGGAAATCATTTACATTTTAAAAATAACTACAAAATCTTGGATTAAACTTGAAAATAGTGCCGAGCAAAGAACAATATGGATTTATTTCTTTAGTAGTTTATTAAGAAAAATTCAATGAGCTAGGAACCTCCTTCATGTGTGTGCTCACACATACGGTCTTTTTTGTAGATTTTTTTAACCTGAAATTTTGTGGTTTCTTCTTCTGTTTTGTGGAACCTTTCTCAGCTCATTTTATATTGCTCAGTGTTATGTGCTTATAAAATTTATAGGCTGGTACTGTTTTCAAAATAAGCTAGAGAAGCACTACTTCTCTACTTCTACTTTTCAGTCTAATAATTTTAGAGTTGAGCCACTACTTACTGTAGTTTTACAGTAAGTGATAAAATTAAGCTCTTGTAACTACTTTTCTGATGCAAAAACTAAAATTTTGTCTTTAAGATATTCTGAAACATTTTAACAACTAGGCAAGCTACCTAAATTACTGCTCCATCCCTCTATGACTTGATCGTAAAACTGTAAAATTTTAGGCTGCTCATCCCTTCAAAGGCTGCTTTTTGTCCACTTATATAAGTGTGGATCTTACAAAGATCTCTGTTGCTCTTTGACCAAGTGCTCTGTTTTTAGTACTTCCTTTAGGTGGCTGTAGAAGACATTTTTTTTTTTAGTATCCTTACGGTGTGCCAGACTGTCTTTGCAAGCTGTGTAACTAGGAAGGCTGGGTGACTGGCTTTGGGCTCAAATTGAGTTCCTAGTTAGGTGCCCATGTAGAAAAAGTCCAAGTTGGTCTTTGAATTGAGTGCTGTACCTGCCTTGTGTTAGATTGCACGTAGATAACCTGACTTAGCTTTTTTTTTTCCTGTTTGTGTGTTCTTTCACAAAGCTCTGCTGTGCTACAGTATTGCTCATCCTGCTTGTGGTGTGCAGTCATGACTTCTTATGAATGGCAGCTCTTACTGTAGTTCCTAAAAAAATAGGAAAAATGTCTGCTCGTGTCCATCAGTTAAATTGTAGGCCTCGTGTATCTTGGCTGAACGCTATGAAATATGGTAGGAAATTAGTACAGCAGAACTTGATGCAAAACAATATCAGAGGGAAAACTAACAGCCCTAATCTGTTTATTTGACATTTATTTTACCCACTCATTTTCACACAGATTTCATTCACTCATATCCTCACACCCACACGCTTGGAAGCACTGAGATGTTTTGTGCAGCACAAAGAGCTGGGAACTGCCTCATGTCCTCATCATAGGTTCTTGATTGGTGCTGGACAAACTTTTAAAAATCCTTTAGGAGTGTCCTTTCGCTATTCCTGTTGTGCTGTTGGGGAGAGGAATGATGTATGTGACATGCTGCAAAGTCACTGCCAGCCTCCTGTTGCTGTCTTCCCTCAAAGAGTGTTTTGCACTGAGCTTTAATCAGAGTGTGGCTGTGTGTGCTGGACAAAAACAACGGGGTCCTCAGCCTGGCTGAGTAAAAAGGATTCTTTGCCATTCATACAGACGATTCTTTTAACTTGCTTTGCTGTTATTTTCTGGTGCTTTCTCTTTCTGTGTTGACAGTCACATTTCATTTGCTGCCATCTTGAATATTTCTGTTACGAGTCTCTGCAGCATAGATGCAGCCCAAGTGATCTCTGTGGTGCATCTCTAATACTTTTACTATAAATGATGCCATATTTTGTTGTCTTTCATGTTTTACAGCAATTCATGCATTTCTTCTGTTTTAGATTACTTCAGATGTATAATGAGCTACAGAAACGTTATGTTAAAGAAACCAAAATAAACAAGGAGCAAAGTGAAGCAATTAAAAATCTCACTGTAAGTAGAATTTGTAGGAGCTGGTATCAAACAGCCGAATATAAGCTTTTAGGGAGACTGAAAAGTAATTCTTACATTTGTGAAATGAGACCATGCTTTTCTTTTTATATTTAGTTTCCCATGACAGGGATAATGGAGGGTAGCCTGTAGTTCCCTTTAAAAATGAACTCTGTCACTGGTGTGTCTGTAACAGAAAGCTGCCTCCCCTTTGCTTGCTTTTTTCTTTACTCATCTACCTATCCCTCCTTCCAATTATATATGCACCTTGTGACCTCTTTGTAACCAGCCCAGACATTTTTCTGCATGTGTCATGAGCTGATATTTCTCAGAAATTCAGCAGAAGGCAAACCAAATGAAGACAAAGAGTTTTCTTTTGGGGAGCAAGGTCTGTGGCCCTGCTGTGCAAAGAGTCTGGCATCACAATTGGAGTGAAGGTAGGGTTGTGTGGCCAGGAATAGTTCTAGAAGCTTCAGGAGGATATTGCCTCTTCAGGCATGGATTAAGCATTGCAGCTGACCAGTCTAATTGCCTCATTTTTGCTCTGTTTTTTTCTCCTTTCAGACGTTTTGGGTGAATGTAGTTTTTAAAATTGAAAGCTCCAGGTTTGCATTTGGGATATGTTTCCAGTTGTATTCGGTTGAAATGTGTTTTTTTCTATGCATTTAAAAAAATTGTCTTGACAGATTAAAATTAATGAGCTAGAGCATAATCTTCAAGAACAGAGGCAAAGAATTGAGCAACTGGAATGTAAAAAGGTTTCTTGGAAAACTAGTGCTGTTTCTGGAAAACGAAGTCAAACTCCAGAGGGAGGAGTAACTTCTCACAGGGACATTTCTGCAAAGGAGGAATCCTGTTGCAGTAGATATTTAGGTAATGGTACAGTTAATTCTGATGATTCTGATTCCTTCCAGTACGCCCAGCAGAGAGAATGCATTTCATTTCTGATCTAGAGGCCACTCCAGGCTCTTTCTTCTCTTTTAACCAGCAGTATCTAAAATGTTCTTTACATTTTTGAAAACCTGTCACATAAAAATGACTTTTTGTAATCTGGGATTCTGCTTTGCATTTGTTTGTGATAAAATGTTTGCTCTTTTCTCTTTTTCTGAAACTAGTCCGTTGTAATCAGAGTGCATGGCTGTATTTAGTGCTGATATTTATTCTAGTAAGATGTATCTGTGCAGATCTCTTAGTAATGATGTTTGCTGCACCAGTCTTTGGATTTCAGACACTGAGACACAGAATAACCTGTTTTTAGCCTTAAAGCATTGGACAAGCCCGGACAGTGCTGGTTTCAGTGCGCTCTTCCTCACATGAGTAAATCCAGAATTTAAGGTGTGATCTTCTTCCATTTTAAAGCATAGAAAAAAGACGGATGAGATCACAGTATGTAGGCATAATTTTCAGGAAATGTGCTATCAGCAAGGGCTGATGTGACCCTCTCATAAGCCAGAAAAAGGTAGTCAAGGCATATGATGTATGTTTTATAGATTGTAAAGTAAAATAATCCCACATTCTAAGAATCTGGCGGATTCAGACTATCCAGCTGGCAGATCCTGATATCTTTCATAGTACCTGGGAATATGCTGGGCCAGTTCTTAAAAATAAATCACTGTATGAAAAAGGTACTTTAAGAACCTGAACTATAATTTTCTAATATCACAGAAGGTAGGCAGCTCTTTAGCTGTAATATGATTCATATGAGGGGGAGGTTGACTGTAATCGTTGAACTCTACATTTTTTCATTTGAATATAGAGCTATTGTTGAAGGAGATTAAAAAGCTGAAGAAAGAAAATGGAAAGTTGTCTGCAGAAAAGAGAGCACTAAAAAATGAACTAGCTGGATTAGACAAGGTAATTTATTTTAAGACAAGCATAATAGTAGGTGATTTTTGAAAAACTAACTTTTCTGCCTGAGCTGAAACTTCCTTTGGCTGAACATATGTTGTTATCAAATAAAATACATTAAAAAACCAGTGTACAGCATTCTGAGAGAGCTAGAAATGAATGACTCCTTAAAGTATTCATGTCCTAAAGGGCTGCCCAGCTAAGGAAGACTATATTCTCTTTAACTTCAACATATCAAAGTTATCCCTCCGACAGAACTCCATGTTTCAGGAGGGCAAAGGCTTTGAATTTTTTGTTAGATCTATAGGTGTAAAAAGTGAAAATATGAGCATTTGGTAGGTCTTAAAGTTATGTAACAAGATGATGAGATCTTACCTAACTATAGAAGACTCAGTTTAATGTACTGACATAAGGTTTTATTTTCATCAACAAATTGTTTAAACTGATTTTGTTCCTCAAGTCTTTTTTAAGAAATTATTTTCTTACCTTGCAGTCCTTTCTCCCAGACTAAATAACACTATGGTATTAATTGCAGTGGTAACAGTAAAAGAGGGTGATAGTTCATTGGATGTGTAACTTGCAGAACATTAAGCCAGGGTGAGTTGTAGATCCCTGTGTTTGGCAATCAGGGACAGTGTGTGGCTGAGAGCTTCATCTTGCAGGAGAGAGATACATGAACCTGAGGTTGTGGCTTTTTATCAGTGGTCCCTTTTTAAGGTAGTTTTAAGTTGCTGTATGTTATATGTATGTAGCTGTTCATTTAAAAAATACTGGAAGAATGGGGAGGAGAATGTCAAATATAGAACGTTATAGGTAGATACATTGTTATTTTGGTAGCTAGAACATTCAAGGATTGGTGAAAGGAAATTTTGGGTTATTATACTCTTCTGTCCATATATTTCCCAACAATTTCTGACTTCACTTACAAAGGATCAGCATGTTATATTATTCCCTTGTCATACTGGACTGTCATTTTGTAGCTGTCTGGTAAATCCATATTTTTTCCTTTTTAAAATTAATCTTTCCTATTATTAGTTTGTATTCCAGCCTCTAACATAACTGAACTCTGCTTGTGTGTTCAGGGGAGAAATGATTAAATTATTACCTAAGGTTGTAGTTGATTGCTGTATCTGGCCACAGCTGTGTTTGCATAACTCAGCCATACACTGGTAAAATATAGAAACCGTCTTTAAATTTGGGAATAACTGAACTGCTCACTAGCTCTTACTGAGAATGTCTTTGAAAAAAAAGTTTAAGGTGAATATTTTTGGGTTTTTCCAGGATTTTTTTGAAGAGGTAGAAGATCTAAAACATGCTGTACAGGAATCTATGAAACTGAACAATGAGTATGAAAAGTGTTTGAAACAAATAAGTGTAATATATGGACTTCCTTTTACAGCACATTTGTAACTACTGGGTAATTTAATGCCAGTTAGAATTTACACATATTTTTTATACTTACTGCAGCATATAAACCTACCATTACTTAAATGATACTACAGTTTGGTCATATAGATTCAGAAATGTGATCTCAATATGACAAGTGCTCGGAAATGTTGTATTTCGTGACCTTGAATTTTTTTGTTGTTTTATGCATTTTTAAATAAACTGTGATCTGCATAACTTCAACTAAGTTTCAAACCCATCTCTTTCATACTTGCACAATATATTCTGGTGGTGGGTGTTTATGGGAATACAATAAAATTGTTTTATTTTGCAGAATTTCTCCAGTTCTTTTCTATAGGCTACATAAAATCAAAGTGTCTGTGTAGATTTGTCAAACTGTGTGAATTTCAGCCCTGAGGATGTGCTATGCAAACAGAAATTAATTCTATAATTAAATTATTGCAGAGGAGTTTCCTAAAAGAAAAATGCTTAATCTCTGCTTGGAATTTTTCTTCAATCCAAATAATAAATGAAAAACTGTGGATGAAGGAAAGATTTAGTGTTCAGAATTGGAAAGTGTATTCAGAGCATTTTGCATCATCAAAAGAAGAATTAATCAGAACCTCTTTTTTGATTCAAGGGTGAGGTACTCAAGGAACTTTGGTATTTGAAGAGCTGAAAAGGAAAGGGGGTAGTGCAGAAAGTCACAGTCCACAAGGCAGAAATGTCGTGTTGCTTCAGGGAGGGCGAGCTGGGAATGAAAAGAGGCAACTCCCAGTTACAAGTGTAATTTGCAGAACCTTGTGAGATTTGAATCTGAACTTGGTTGTAACGACATCCCATGAAAGTTTAACATAGCTACATTACAGAACTATATTTTTCTGAAAGGTGTAAATCTCTGCCTTTGTGATGGGAGAGTTGAGTGAAAACTGTTTAGGGTAGAAGGACTTAGCTTGCTTATAACCTAATACAGCCTCTTTAGCTTCATAAAAATACATGGACACTCCTGAGGGATAGGACTAGGAGTAAGATTAAGACTCTCATGTCCCTCTCGGTTTGTTAGGACAGTTTATGCAGTTGTAATTTAATAAAGAAATTTGCCTCAAAGCATGTGTGGTGTTCAGAGTTGCATGTTCACTAAGTGATCGGGTAAAGCTCCAGAGCTCCTTGTGCTTGCTCTGGCTATAGACCACTGCGTTCCTGTTTAATTCTTGGCTCACTTGTAAATGAAAACTGGATAATATTCTGAACAAGAGATGGAAAAGGGAAACAAGCCCACATTGCCAGTAAACTTGATGGAAGAAAATAAGGGGGATAGCATTTATAACTGAAAATTTTAAGTGGAAAAATGTTTGTAACAGTTGCTAATAAGGAAAATAAACATGAATGCTGGAGAAGGAAGCAGCGCCAGTCACTGAAGCCTTTCCCCCCACAGTGTTGCCGTATAAAGTGACACTCTCAGCATGTTTAAACTTTGGTCTCGTAGTTAAATAATTCAGTAATTGTCCTCATACATGGGCTGATTTTTAAATGTCATGCAGAACAAGAAAGTGAGGAATCCTTCAGTATTTTCTCATAACTAAGGTCTCCTAACTCTAATCCCAGATTTCTGGTGAGGAAATCTACTCTAATGAGAATAATGAGCCGTGTGAGGAGGAGCGGCAGCAAAGCGCAGAGCTCCACGCAGCAGCGGCTGTGCAGCCCCGGCGGAGGTGGGATGGGATGGGATGGGATGGGAGATGGGGTGGGAGCAGCCGTGGGCTGGCAGGTGGCAGAGCGAGGTGGGCAGGGATTTCTCTCAGCCAGTAGTAGGAGCTGTCTTTCAGCTCCGTCTGCATCGCTGACTTTCTACGAGGTCGGTTTTTTTTTCTCTTTTTATTTCCATTTCCGCTTTTCCTTTCACTATCAGGAATGCTGGCGGTGTAGGGTGCAGATGGGGCACCTCTGGCAACTTCCACATCTGCGGCACAACTCACCAAATAGTAACAATTGGCAGCAGGAACGCAGGAGGAGGAATGTATGTGGAAGTGACTGGCTCTGTGGCATTGATTGTGTCTGTCCCTGCTTGTGACTTATGAAAATGGCAGTTTTGCCTTGAAGATATTTTTATTTTCTACTGATTGCAGGTTTGGTTTATTGGTGTGGGTTTCTTCTTTTTTAACTGGATGGCATCCGTTTGCTCTTGAAGCTGTGATTTTCATTTATTTATTTATTTATTTATTTGTTTGTTTGTTTGTTTGTTTGTTTATTTTCTGGACATGGCTAATGCAAGTTAAATAACTTGCTAGCATTTTCTGTTCAAATTAATACTGGTTTTGTTAGAAGAGGAGACTGTCTCAGACTACCAAAGTCTACCTTCCAAATAAGTGCTACTTCCTGCTTTGCAGGATAAAGCCATATAAAATTTGCAGCTAATAATATTCTTTGGATAAGAATTTGCCTATCTTTTTGTCCTTATTCTGTGCTAGTTAGCAGATAGATCTGCTTTGATCTTGCCTCCTTGTGAGATGTACAAGCAAGGTGTTGCTATTTTGCTTGCTAGTTAAAGTGCAGGTGAGACAAGTATTAAACAGGTAAATCATATTGTGGAATTGTGACATTTGGCCAGTGGTGCTTTCCTGCTAAACCAAGTTTAGATAAACTGAATTCCATGCAATTAAGTATTAGTCATGCTACTGTTTGCATATTAGAAATGTTTCATGGTGCAGGCTAATGGTTCTTTGTCTCAAATAAGTACTTTGTAATGCTGATATGGGAATCTTGTGTTTGAAAATAAGTGGCTATGGTCAAATAGGGGCTTTAGTTGGAAAAATAATATAATAATCGTGATAGTATTCACTTTCCATGAGACTTAAATCAAATGGGCTAGTTCACAGGACAGTGAAGCAATTTAACTTTGTTCTGTGTTCTGCATATAACTGAGGCCAAGATTTGTGAAACAATCCACTATCTTTCTGTGGTATTGCAATTTTGTCCCAATTTTCCTGATATTTGGAGTACAAATTTTCAAAGGTACCAAATATTCACAGCTGTAGTCAGATTTAGCTAATTCAGACTGGGTCTGCTAATCACTGAATACTGAGTTCAGTAATTGCTCATATCCTGGATATTAGTCCTAAATTAGGATTTTTCTATTGTAGAAAGCAAAACTGCAATACCATTGTTGGGCGGGGAACCGTATTTTGTGGATTTCTCTGGAAGCTGTTTCTGAGCCTGTGAAGCTGCATCTCTTTAGGTGTCCCGGAGTCCCTTTACTGTGACCGTGCTACAGTGTTTCATACTGGGACCCTGAGAGGCTGGACCTGGAAACTGAGGGATTTCATTGGAGAGTAAGAGCTGGTGCCTCTGTTCTCTCAGCCCGGATACTTTCTTGTGGGCACTTACCCTGAAAAAGTGTTCCTGCCAAGGGCTGTGGAAGAAACAGAAGAATTTCAAAAGGGGTAAATTCCCTGTTTAGGTTACAAAGTATCCAAGGTAGCAGAAAGCAGTAAATACAGTTACCTCACCAATTTGGGCTCATTAACTGTTTCTCTACAGCTGCAGTGAAGTTTCTCTTTTTCTGGGGCTTAGATATTTCTTGTTTTCCTCTTGTCAGAAATGAAGCAGCCTTTGTTAATTACCCATGTATCTGTGCCTGTGTTCGTGGAAACCTCCCATAAACTTGCTCTGGGATCCTGAATTGCTCTTGGTTCTTGGAGGTTACAAGGCACCATATTAAAGGTGGTAATGCTATTGATTTGGTGTAGTCATGTTCTGTTCTTGTGCCAGAAGATATCCTCTGGCAGTTGTTTAGCCTGAAGAAAAGGAGGCTGATGGGAGACCTTATTGCTCTCTACAACTACTTGAAATTAGGCTGTAGCCAGGGGGCTGTTGGTCTGTTCTCCCAAATAAGTGATGGGACAGGAGGAAGTGGCCACAAGTTTGCCAGTGGAGGCTTAAATTGGATACTAGGAAAAATTTCTTCACTAGAAAGGTTGTCCTGTATTGGAGCAGCCTGCCCAGGGAAGTGGAGGAATCACAACCCCTGCAGGTATTTAAAAGATGTATGGATGTGGCACCTGGGGACATAGTTTAGTGGTGGACTTGTCACTGCTGGGTTAAGGCTTGGACTCAGTCTTGGGGTTCTTTTGCAACCTCAGTGATTCTATATGGGTCCTAACAGATTTTTTTTCTTTGTTGCAGCTGCTATTCAAGCTAAGCTCTGTCTTTACCCACCTTTGACCCCCACTCATAGTGTTTTTACTGTAAAATTCTAAAAAAACCATCATGTACCAAGATCCTGGCTGGCTGTAATCTGCTTTCCTTGGTGCAGGTGGGAGCAAGTGCAGTTCTGTGCTCAGCTGCCCATCTGTGTGCCTGGAGGAGAACTTTATGCTTTAGGTCAATTACATATTCCCAAACCTTTCAGGGTGACGAGGAGCTAACACTATAGGCCCTGCATGGTAGCTTTCCACAGGGAATGCTGACTTAATGAATATTTTATTTTGTATTTTCTCCACAGAGGTTTTGTGCTGACAAAAAGCACGTGATCCTTTGAGTAGCCCAAGCTGTTTTCACCTGAGACAGGAGAACTTGAGCCATTGTCTTATGCTGGTACTGCAATGCTGAGTTCTAGCTCGACCACTGTGAAGAATCTCCCTCTGAAAAGGAGGCTCTGTTTTCTGCTGAAACTTGTGTGCTTTGTCAGCTCAGTGTTAATATTTTGTGAGTTTTTAATTTACTATGTGGTAATATTTCAATGCCGATGGCCAAACGTGAAAGGTGGAGCTCACATGAGTGAAAAAAAGACTTCAGCTTCAGTCCTAAAGGCCATAATTTTAGCTGATACACACCTACTTGGTGAAATCAAAGGACATTGGCTGGATAAGCTAAGAAGGTAATTATTAATTTTTTAAAATAATCTCTACCCAGTTTTCAGAGTTTTTAATAGTAACTAATGGGACAATAACTGTTCTATTCAACAGCAATTCATTAGAATTGTAATGAAAAAATAAACAAGCTGGTATTAATTCTTGCATGTTTTGGTCCTGATTGTTTCATGGTGGAATTACCCACCAGGTAAGATGTACCTACTGTCCTTACACCTGATTTCTAAGTATTTAATTTGAGTTTAATAATGTATTTTCATATTTCAGTGTGTAAGAGCCAGTTTCCCATTCCCATTACCAGGCTGTGTCTGTGTATTCAGAGCTGAGGATCCAGAGGTAAGGCAGTGATAACTGGTTCTGTATTTTCCTTTCAGGGAATGGCAAATGGAGAGATCTTTCCAAACTGCCTTATGGTTACTGCAGCCAGATATTGTTTTTATCCTGGGAGATGTTTTTGATGAAGGAAAATGGAGCTCACCTCAGGTATGACATCATCAGCTCTTTTATTTCAAAAAATGAGGATTTCTTGAAGGAAATGGAAGCAGATTAGGTATGCAAGGCTTTGTTTAATACTGCTACAGTTGTCCTGTTGATAGAAGTTTCTAGTCTTTCAGATAGGAGTTGAAATGTTGTTATATTCCTTCATTTTTGGAAGTACCTTGGCAGTTTTACCCCTCATATAAGACTTACAAAATGTAAATATCTGAGTTTGTGCTTCTGTGCTACATGCTTGTGATGGGCTGACCCTGGCTGGATGCCTGGTGCCAACAAACTTCCCTGTCACATCTCTCCTCAGCTGGGGAGGGGAAAGAAAATACAAGAGAGCCCCTCCTCCTTTACTGACTTTGGTGTCTGCAGGGCTTTTCTGCTCATAAATTCTCACTCCTCTCTCTGGCTGTAGTTGCAGAGTTTCCTTTTTTGCCATCTTCCTAATTTTGTTATCCCAGAGGCACTATCAGCCTTGGCCAGCAGTGGGTCCATCTTGGAGCTGGCTGCTAGCATTGGCTCTGTAGGACACAGGAGAGGCTCCCACAGATGTACCAGTACCAAAACCTCGCCATGCCCACTACAAAACCTTTGATGCTGTGGAACAGCACTGATTTCTGCTTCTGTTTTTTTTTTTTTTTTTTTTTTCCTGCAGGCCTGGGCAGATGATGTCAGGAGGTTTCAGAAAATGTTCAGGCATTCTGTTTTTACAGAGCTGGTGGTCATCGCTGGGAATCACGACATCGGATTTCATTACGAGTAAGTCCTGTCACTGACAGGAGAACACAAGTGCCAAGAACGAAGTGTCAGCATGTCCACAGTAACTGTGCTGGGTCTGAGGGACATGTTTTGTGGTTTTATGGAAACTTCTTGATCATGATCAAATTAGAAAGGGTCGTAATTGAGAGTAAAGCCTGTGCACAAAACAGGTTTATGGTTCTCTGACCATATGAGGGTTGTTCAGAGCTGATCCTTCTGGACTGACATGGAATCCTTGAAGCTGCTTTTCCTTGTATTGAGCATCCTCCTTAGAAAGGCACCTGAGAAGATTTCCACTCCTGTTAGCACAGAAGAGTGTAAGTGCCCTCACTCTGTGGTGCTTGCACTGATGGGAGGGGCTGCAGGACACAAGGGGTGTCAGAGCATCCCTGTGAGTTTCCTGAATGATTGTGTGAGCTGGATAATGCAGCAGCAAACTGCATGAATGGTCAGCAAACTGTAAAGCAACTGTGTCAGATGAGTTCCAATGGCAATTTCTTACCTCAGTTGTATTTTTGCTCTGTGACACAGAATGACTACTTACAAGGTAAATCGATTTGAAAAGATTTTCAACTTTACTTCAGGAAAGCTGATAACTCGGAAAGGAATAAAGTGAGTATATTTAATTTTTTTCTAGTGAAATAGTATGGGAATGCTTCACTTAGAGCCTTTTTTTAAAAACTCACCTACCTTATGATGTATTAAACCCCAAATACTTTGTACAAACCTGTAGTTTGATATAGACAGGAAGCTGTACTTAGAGCTATGTAATATATAACAATTTCCTTTTAAATGGAAAAGTACTGTGGAGTCAGAATCCATTTCTCTGGTGTGCCTTTATACTTCCTTACAGCTGGTAATGAGGCATGGCTGTAAACATAGCAGGATAAAGAAACATGAACCAACCCCCTCTGTGTTTACAAATTAGGAGTTTCATTAATTTTAATAACTTCTTTAGTCTGCAAAACTTAACCCTTGTGTGACGAATTCGGGAACACAGCAGTTGTATGTCTGTCGGTTTTCCACAAGGTGGGGTAATAATGCTCAGGCTGTTTTTGGCTTAGAGCAGACCTCGGTGCAGTTTGTTCTGACAGCTGTGTCCCCGTGGCTGCACTTGTCTGCTGTGTGCCCTGTTACCTGCAGACACCGTGCAGGAACCCGATGAGGGAACACAATACTGGGTTTGTGGAAAGCTGTTTAAGTCTCAGGTTCAGGAAGGGAAGGCCCATTTCCACTCTGTTTGGCATGTGTGCCCTCAGGTTTACTCACTTGTGGAAATGTGAGATTCAAAACTTACAGGTTCACACTGGTTCCCTTAATTAACCAAACATTAGAAATGTTTAATTAAAAATTCTGAACAGGTCTGGAAATGGTTGTGTCTATTCTAGTAGGAAGATCTCCGAGCTTCGTGAATGCTCAGTATAAAGCTGTTGCTTATCATGCAGATGTAGGGTCCTCAAGATATGTATTTCAGCTGTTCAAAAAATAATTATTAAGGAACATCTCCATGTCTCCTTTGATAAAAAAGCATAGCAGAATTCTTGCATGCAGTTGCAGATTGCATGTCTGGTATCCATTAACTGCAATGAGCTGCACTGTTAATGAAATACTCGCCAATAAACTATTTTACAACAAATCTGTGGTATAAAAGCAGCTTAATTTGCTAAAAGAGAACTAATTTTTGTTTTACTATTGACTAGTATCTCTTAAGTGAAGGCATTCAGCTCAGTTTTGTCTTTTAAACAGACTGAATTGAACTGAGGATATATTTCAAGCTGAATGTGTGACTAAATGGTATGAATCTTGTAGCAGAAGTTGATTTGAAACTTACAGGGAAACGTTCTGTTAAGAATAAAATCCTGTTTTGTGTGTCAGAGACCACAATGTACAAAACTAAGCTTGTTCAGGGCAGTCACCCAAATGCAGTGCTGTTCTGCTTTTCAGTTGTTCTGAAGAAATCCAGTGTCTCAGATTCTGTCTCTGAGGTCTAAACTGTGTGGGGAGAGAAGCAAGTTCTCTTTTCTCTTAATATTTAATTTAGTGTTGAACTTCTAACACTCCACTAGAATACAACTTAAGTATCCATTAAAATAAAAAAAATCATGAAGGGTAAGGTACATTGTGCAACCTAATTAACAACTGTATAAAGGAGCCAACCAGGCAGAGACATGGCTGTGGCACAGATACTCAGAGGAAGATTTATAGCACATGATTTCAGGAGCTGTTACATTCTGCTACTTTGTTGAGCTGTGTCCAACTTAGAACACTTGCATTTTATAGAATGAAGTTTGTCCCACACGTGTGCATGAGCAACAAATGCTTTCCTGTCCTCCCCACTTCTCTTTGCCCACCTCTTGGTATTTTCCAGCTTTGTCCTAGTGAACAGTGTAGCCATGGAGGGTGATGGCTGTGCTGTCTGCAGTACCTCAGAGGCAAAACTTGTGGCTCTTTCTCACAAACTGAATTGCTCCCTGCAGGTAAGAGATTATTAAAGAGCTGATTACAGCCAGCGACTTCTCTCCCACAATGGGAACACTGATACTGTAGCATAGTCAGGATACAACCAGACTCTCCTGAAAAAAAATCTGCTTCCAATTCACATTGCAACTTGTTAGCAAGTCTGCTTCCCCATCATATCCCACTTAACCATGTTTGCTTTACTATTAACAGTGTTGCTTTGCACTAATGGTGTCAACTTCCTTGTCAGTGCTGCCAACAGTGTCATTTCCTTGGTTCCCACGAATGGCAGAAGTTCTGTAATCCTCCCTTTGACGCCAGATACATAATCCTGCATTTATATTTATGGATATTAGTCTTTTTTATAGCCTTCGAGGATGTTCTTTTAGTTTTTTGATTCTGCTGCAATCCTTTCCTTATAGCCTAGTAGTGTTTTAATTGTATTTTTTCATCATATCAAATTGCTTCTTGTACTTCCTTCCTCTTCCCTTTTTCATAGGCTGACTGGATGCACAGTAGGCAGCATGACTGACTGGGCTGGCAGTCAATCAGGAAACCAGCTCCCAGTGGAAAAATTGCCAGACTCTATCTCCCTTGGGCTGCTTTCAAACTCCTTTGCCTTGTTGGTGCAGAGATCCTGCTGCTGCTTTCTGCAGTCAGAAAGAGCACAGAATGGGGAGTTTCACCAGTCCACAGTAAAACTCTTAGGAGTTCATTCAGTGGTAGTATTGTCTGAGCTAAACCTCTTAACAAAAAACCGAAGTCAACAACAACCCCACCCTCCCCAACCCCTTAAAACCTATCTATTGCTTAATTGCCTTCACCCTTTCTATGGCTTGATTTTGTTCACAGAAACCAAATCATTCCAACAAAAGATGCGGTGATGTGGAAAAGCTTCCAGCTTCAGAACCCATCCTTTTACAGGTGTGTTAGAGGTAGAGTGAGGCAACATATTGACATGATTTTGTGGATTTATTACTGTTCCAGAAAGGCTGGATCATTAACAACTAATCCTTGCTTTTAATTACTCCCAGCATTACCCTCTCTATCGGAAAAGTGATGCTAAATGCACTGGAGAAGATTCTGCTCCTCCAGAGGAGAAAAACATCCCCTTCAAAGAAAAGTATGATGTACTGTCTCAAGAGGCATCACAAAAGGTTTGATTTCTTGGGAACTTAAGTGGCAGTGGGTGGGTGAGAGGGGGACATGAGTCTAGATATAAATAGGTTAAAAAATTGTGGTAAGGCTGTTGGCTGACACAAACAGAGCACAGCTGCTCCTCTCTGATGAGGCCTGGGAGAGGCTGCTTGTTAGAGCTGCTCCCCTGAGGATCCTCACCATCATGGCCTTGGTCCTGCCAGGCTTCCCAGGTACAGCTCCTAACTCTTGGCATTCTTCAATCTGCTGTGGTGCCATTACTTCCACTTCAGCATTCTGTACTTTCTATACGGTGTAAATTATTGACACACCTGGTATGAAGTCACAGTTTTCCAACACTTTGAAAGCATCACTTTTGCTGAATTAGTAACTAAAGAAAATGTAAAGTATTCCATAAAATCTTAATGGTCATTATTTTTTTTCCTTCTGCATAAATGTCTTCATGCAAAGATTGTCAGTACAAGATTCTTCCCTAGACATGAAAATAGCATTGCTTTACTGAACCCAAAGTTCTTATATTTGTGATATCCATAGCATGCTGTTGGCTTTGTTCTTCTGATTTGTATGACCAAAAAAAAAAAAGCCCAGTACTTGGGGTCAGGGCCAAATGGGTGTGATTGATATTGCAATACCAACAGATTTCTTACTGGAAGACAGAAGTTTACAGAAAATACCTTTTAAGAATATGAGAATTGCCATAATTTCACTCTGTTCAAAGGAAAAAAAAAGGGGTTTTAAAGTTCAATTTATTTTTAGCTGTGACTTAATTTATGTACTTTACCATTTTGTGTTCTAGCTGCTATGGTGGTTCCAGCCCCGTTTGATTCTCAGTGGGCACACTCATAGTGCTTGTGAAGTGCTGCACGCAGGGAAAATCCCAGAAATCAGTGTCCCATCATTTAGTTGGAGGAATAGAAACAATCCTAGTTTCATTATGGTAAGTTTTAATTTTTTTTTTATTTTTGTCAGATAACTTTCATAGATAAATCAACATGGCAGTCAGCTATATTTTAAAACTGATTCTACCTGTAAAAACGAAAAATTAAAAAAAAAAAATTTGCCTACCCACCCAACCCACTCAGTACACTGCATCCACTTTATAAAGTACATCTGTGGGAGCCACATGTTCTGTGTGGTACAAAGCAATGCTGTTAAAGACCTAATTAGTATCTGGGTACATTTTCTTAGAAAGAGGGTGCACTGTAAACTATGGACTTGTAAAAATAATCAGTATTGTGCACTGAACAGTAGAAAGACCAGTTTGGCTTGGCTGATTTACCAGCTATGAAAACAAGACTGTATCCACCTCAAAGCCTTTTGCACGGTGATCATGGTTTTCAAACGTGTGCATTAATGCAGTGAAAGTGTTTGTGACGTGCCCACAGTCTGCCTCCTCATTGCCAGTTCACATTTTATACAGTGTGTTGGTTATGCTTGTGCAGGCAGTTCCAGTGCTCAGTGTATCCTTAGAGGTAAATCAATTAGTTCCCCAGTTCAAAAATAAAACAGAACTCTTAGAAACTTGGAGTAAGAAGCAAAACCTACAATCTGTTTACAGAGTAGTCTGTGACTTGGAGGGGGAAATCTTTTATGTATGTTTTACTGCTGTTGAGTTTAGGCTGTTTAATACAGATAACCCCGTATGTTTAAATTCATTTTATGCAACTGTTAATATTTGTTGTTGAAAGTAGTTCTGTTTTTTCCATATTCCTGAGAGTAGCTGCCTTCAAAGTACACACACACTCTGCACATGCCATACAGCACATCTTCACTGCAAAACAAGAGGTTGGCTAATTAAAGTTGAATCCTCTCCACTGCTGTTTTAACTCCTCAGCCTCGAGCTGCTGTAAACTTTAATTTAAACTGCAAAGTCAAGCCAAAACCCAACAAAGTTCTTAGTTGTTGAAGTTCCTATTCCTAATTTGGATTAGCCAACGTGTGTTTTTGCAGCATGTACTGGGTAAGGAGGAGGGCTTGGGGGAGGAAGGGGCACATTCAGAAAACCTAACTTCAGCCTGGAAAGGCTCCTTCCAGGTGGATTTACAGCAGCTAAAGTTAGGCTTCTCTTGAAGGCAAATCAGATGAGGAGCCCAGCTCTCTATTTATGCTAGATGGGAAGATGGGCCTCTGGGCTAATGTTGGCCTGGTGAATATTCCAGTTAGTGCCCAGCACCACAAGGTATGGACTCTTCAGCCCCCTGGAGAAGGCACTGGTACTAGGAAACTGGCCCCAACCCTTGCCACCCAACACAGAGATTTAGAAATTGGAGATCTGACAGCTGTGGTATTCACTCCTGATTCAGAACCCAATGTAACACAGTAAAGTGACAGTCTTCGTTTCTTTTCCAGGGCAGCATAACACCAACTGACTTCTCCCTCCAAAAATGCTTCCTTCCGTTTGAGAGCAGAGTCTTCACTATCTACTGTGCAGCAGGTGCTCTGCTTGTGATCCTGGTACTAGCTCATGTTCAGCTTCTCACTCCACCGTTTTATTTTGCTCAGCGTTTAATCAGTAAGCATAAAGCAGTATGAAGAGCCAGACATCTGCATTCAGTCACTGAAATACCAAAGCTGAGAACAGTCAAACATCAGACTATATTCATGCCAGCAAATGACCTAATTTGATTGCTAGTCTGAAGGCAGGTTGCATTTACACATACCATAGAAGTCCTATACAGCTGATATGACTACTACAGGATAAATAATTAACTGAAATGAACGTTTCATGCTGTACAAAAATACTGTATTCGACAATCAAATGAGTCCTTTTCCTGCTATAATTTTTGTATCAAATATGTATATTAAAAGTGTAACTGTACATTATGTAAATCCTATAGCCTCATCACTTGTCTGCACTTGTGTCTTGCCCTGGTGGAGGCTGAATCTTGCAAACTGGAAACGTTTCTCTGTTTTATTGCTGCATGGCCCTTCAAATGTCATACTTATGTTTGTTAGGGTCAGGCAGAATCTGGATGCATCAGCACTGAGAGATGCGGATTTCCATAACCTTTTTAGGTTGTTGCGTGTAAGGGACTGTGATTTGGGACGAGAAATCTTCTGGTTCCTGACACAGTAAATTGTTAGCTGACTACAATTTGCAGTTATCCATCTACCAGATGACAAGGGGAAAAGAAGCTTGAGGATCCAGTTTGCTGATACACACTTGAAAACTGCTTAAAAAAATTAGGGTGACACCTCAAGCTGCGGCTTTCAAAAAGATGTGCTATGATGAGCTTAAAAAAGAGGGCCCTATTGCATCCCAGAGATCTGTGTGGTGAGGGGCCCTCCAGTTGCCAATCTCCTGCAAGAAGGAAGGTCAAATACAGCTGCAGTAACATTATCCTATGCCTCAGCCCTCAGTCTACAGCCGGGGATAGGAATGTGCCTTATTTTACATTCCACAAGTTCTGTTGACTTTAGTGTAGTGTCACATTTTGAACTGCACTAGCTTCTCTGTGGGGAGGCAGAGGCCACCAGCTGTGGCACAAAGATAAAATCTGAGCTCAGCGTTTCCAGTAAGTGGGGGAAGGTGGGACAAACCTACTGCTGCTTCCCACCCATCCCACAAAAAACATAGGGACTACTTCACACCAGGACCAGTTTTCCTGCTGATGTTCCTGCAGAGGCTGGGAGCTCTAACCTGAACTCCTGGGCTGGGGCTAGTTTAAAAAAAAAGACTATATTTTGTTATTCATTCAGTAACTTTCTTTGGCATGAGAAATAAGAGAATTTTGGGAATTTTGTTTACTGTTAGGTTATTCCACCCAGCCTTTCACTATTTGAGAAATATGAATAAATTGAACATACAGATTTCTGGGAAGAGAAAATGGTTATATTATAGTATCTAAAATGGGATTATTTTATATTCAACTGGAAACAAGTTCTCAACTGGAGTGTAGTCTGATTTTAAAAAGATGACTGATTGGGGTTTATAACTAATAACAATACAGTAAAAAGTTAATAAAACCTGCTGATTTATATGCCAGTGTGGGGACTGTGTTAGCTCTTCATCTCTCCCTAAATTTAAAATGAAGTGGGGGAATGGTCCGAAGTGTGGTAAAACATTCTATAAAGTAATGTAGTCTAACACTTCTCTAGATTTCTGTTATTGCAACTGTAATTTTAGACATTTGTACAGGTTATCTTGGACACAGGAAAAGTATATAGTCACAGACATAAAACACCTATGTATAAAATATAAAGCAGTGTTATAGTTACTAAAAAGGACATGCCTTATTGCTACAGCAATTCTTGCTTTTTATATATTGTACTGTACCACAACTTGTTTTGAGAATGTCATTTGCATAAATTATTCAAGTTTGAGAAATATTCACACATTTTGATTCTACAATATTTAAAATAAAATAATTTTCTAATGTGTCTCTTTATTAAAAGAGAAATAAAAATGTCATCTTGTAATTCTCTTAGGCCAGACACAAGGGTTTATACACCTTTTTTTTTTTTCTTATCTTCTTTCTCGCTATTTACTTGCACAATGAAAGCCGCTGTTGGTACAAAGATTGAAGAGCTCTATATAATGGTGCTTTACACATTCACAATCGGTCTGTGCAATTGTGAAGTTCTATGAATGACCAAAGAATTACCAAACATATTTTCTAAATATAAAGGACAAAAAAAAAAAAAAAAGAAAAAAAAGAAAAAGAAAGTAAGTCCTTGTTTCCCATTAAAACAACACCAGGTTGCAATTTGGACACTTGAATGAATTCCAATGTTTTAAAGCTGAGACTTCAAAAGAGAAAGGCATGTTTGCTGCAACATCCGGTGACTGTAATACCTTACTTGGAAAGGTAAGTGGTTAATTTGCATAATTTATAATTTTTATACTAAAGAGCATTTTTATATAAACCAGAAAAAAACCCCTAAACTCTACAGATAAAGTTCTTACCTCCAGTCACTGCTGCAGGTAAGGTTGACATCAAGCTGTACAGCGCAATCAAAAACATACTTACATCTTAGCTCATTTTACAGGTACAGCCATAATCAAGGCACAAAGATCTTCTACAAGTATTTTTCTTCAATAAAGTTGTACAAAATAATATTACATTTTACAGTCTGTACAATATAATAAACCAGCAGTAAAACAAAAAATATATATAGGGAGAGGACTGTTGTCCAAGAATGATCGGAACTAAAAGGATCATTTGTGGACAGCACAAATAACATAAGTGAGGGTGGTAAATTTTCTGCCTAGATGCAACAGGCTGAAAAGTAGCTGTAATTCAAATGCCTGAGGTGTGCAGAGACACTTAGCTCCAAAACCCCAGAAAAATTGCTTTGTCTTCACTGTTCCTCTCATTATCTACTCTACTTCCTGTGCCAGTAACGGCTTAAAAGAGGAGGTCACTTTATCAGTTGACCTGCAACTCAGAAATGCTAAAAACTGTGACAGAGTAATAAATATTGTGGTGCTGCTACATTGTGTGTCTACTTCCTCAACAGTATTTAATAACCTGATACAAAGTGCATTAATCTTTTTTTCACCCATCAAGTACTCTTCAATGTCATGTTAAAAAGGAAACCCACACAGAGGGATAGGTATGACTTCAGTGTCATCCAGCTGACATACCGGTCTGAACTGAGGTTAACCCGCTGGAAAAAATTTAGCAGGTCACGTTCAGTTTAAAAAAACAAAACCTAAGGGAACAGAGGTAGCCAAAGGGCTTAGTGGAATGACGAAGAAGTGGCATGTCAAAATAAAGCACAAAAATAGTCCCAAAAAAGCATGAAGGGAAAATAACCCAAACTTGCTTCAAATCAGCTTTAAGGTTAAACAATTAAAAGTAAACAAAGTGAAGAGACTGACATTTCTATAGTATATTCTTCCACCCTGTGTGGGGTAGCATCAAGAGAAAGAGTAAGGAGCAAAGAATTTAAAACCACAGGTTCCACGGTGATCCCCCTCACAAGAGTTCGTACTGGCGGAGGTGCATCCTCTGAATGATGTCTCGACAGTCGTTGAACACTCTGCGGATGTTTTCTGTGTCCACTGCACACGTGAAGTGCGGGTAGCAGTAATGCCGGCCGTCTCCACTCGCTGTACTTATCCTCTATGGAAAGAGAGAGGCAAAAAAAAACAGGATCAGGTGCCATGCCGTGAGAAGTTTCACATCTCAATGGTCTAAAAACTTGTGGGGAATCAAGAGCTCTGGGAAATCTGTATATAGATGACTACAAAAAGCAAACAAAAAGAAGGGAGGGCTGTGGTCTGGTCAGTCTGAATGACAAATTTGAAATGAAGACTACGAAACGTTATGGATACTGTCATGGGGACAAGACAAGAGTCCTTTGTGGGAGCCATGGATGCCATCCTCAGCTGCACAGGCTGCTGCCATTTGTACATCACTGTGCAGCCAAATCTGTGCTGCTGACAGCTGTGCAGCCTGCCATGCAGCTGCCCCAGGAATTGTTTTCTCTTCTTTTTTTTGGTGCCATCATGTGGCAAATTCTTGAACTCGTTTTAAATCAGCAACACAAAACTGAAACCCTCCCAGTTGTGGAGCTGGCAGTGGCAGAGAACAGCATTCTACTGTGTCTGCTTTATGTGTGAGGGCCCCTCAAGTTACTTTCACTTAGAGCACCTATTAAGGCAGGTGAAGGCTTGGGATCATCATTGCACCCAGAGTTTGGTGGAATTACCACCAGAGTGGCTGAATTCACTTAGAGTAATAAAGCATGCACAAATCCAGTAAACATCAGACCATGCAGAATTAGATCTTCTCAAGGCTACTGCACAACTTTTTAGGCTCTAAGTTAGAGCTCCAGCATCACTTTGCCCATGGTTATATTGTTAAAATTTCTCAGGATCTTAAAACATATATTTTAAAAAAAACCAACAACAACCTAATTTTTGTTCTGTATTACTTTAGGACTGACAAATATAAATCCATTCTAGATCATTATCTTGCAGAATATAAATGAAATACCATGAAAGCAGAAGGTCAGTTTTTAGGATAATAATTTTTATAACTATTTTCTAAATTTTATTATAAATTACTTTGACTAAACAACAAAAGACAGTGTTCTGTCTCACTCTGGCCACACCACACATTTTTAACACAGGATTTATTTTTACAGGTAGGTTTGAGCTTTTAAATACCTGAAGCTAAAGATATGCAAAACTACAGACATTTAGAAGCCATGATTTACATAATTAGATCCACAAGAAATTGCAGATTTTTTCCACGTTAATTTATGTTATATTACACATTCAATACTGATTACACAGAGGTGTTCATACACAGTCTAAAAATTATTTTCTTACCATGCTACTTTCAGTACCTAGTTCAAGGCTTACCCTCATGAAAAATACTAATAACTGCCTGCTTTTGTTTATCATGCACTGATTTCACTCATGTCTGTGACAATAAGCTGCCCACAGTGTCCTGGTTACATACACAGCATGCCAAAGCATGTATTTTCAAAATATTAGGGGGCTGACTGTTTTTGCCACCTGAAGGCTCTTGCAGTCCTCTCATTTGAAGATAAATGGAGAATTGTCACCCCTACTCGAAACTCACTTAGAATAGTAAAGTGTCACTCAGCACCAGTTCACAGGGGAATTAAAAATCCCCACAGACACTGGTGAAAGAACATTTGCTTTCCAGGTGGGAATATTTAATTCTGGTATCCCTACACTGCAGGGGTCAGGATGACACGCAAATTTGAGGAAGCCTGGTCTATGTGTTTGAACAGCAGCTCCTTCACCTCCCAGATTCAGGTTTTGTAAAAGCCAGCAGGACAGGAACCAGAGAGGCCATGCCACAGTTCTAACAGGGGTCACACTGGGGATACATTCAAACAAAACATCA